GGGCTTGGGGCTTAGGTTTAGGGGTTTAGGATTTGGGGTCTAATTGGCCAAGCTTTCTTCGGTGTTTATTATGGGTTAAGGGTTCAGGCGTTTGCATTTGTCTTCAGGGCTTGTAGGGTTCGCGCAATATAAATATAAAGGCCTACACGACTTGTTCTTCGGTTCAGGTGTTCCTGTGGTATCCCTTACTTCTTTCACTATTTTGGAGTTTCCTTGCAAGAACTGTAACTGAAAACTGGGGGAACAGGCTTTCTTCATTACGACGGGGCAGCGGGAACCTAGGATTGTGGCATTGGGTTTGGGGTTCTGGGAGGTTTGGGTATGGGCACCTGCCGCAAGTAGTCTGCATGCGCCTCAGATTCACAAGGCTTGGTTACGTGGCATGGTCACTCGAGCATATAGGCCTAAAAGAGGCCGCGTTACACGAAGTACAACATCTTAAACGCATGGTTGGCGCGCGTGCGGGAATTACCTCTTGCCGAGCTGATGATTGCCAGGAGCCCACCTGCGCCCTCTCATTTCCGCCAGTTCGATGGTTTCACATGCCGCGTCATTTTGCCTTTCTACCGGTATTGGCAATTTGGATTTCTGGCGGCTGTAATACGACGTACGGTTAATGAGCATCAAGATGCGATTTCTCGCATGTTTGGGTGCGGCATTCGCGTGCAGTTCTGCTACACCCTTCCGGCTACGCATCTTCGTGTGCGTTTGCTTCATTTGTCATGTCCTTGCAAACAAATTCTGGACAGATGTCTTTTAAGTAACTGGTTGGATGGAGCGGATGGAGGAGGTGAAACCTTTCGCAATCCTTTTGAGCCCTTGCGGCTAGATTTTCGTTCTGATGCTCATTTGAGCCTCAATGCACCCAGAAACCCGGCTTGAAGCCCAAACCAGAAGACTGTCTTGCTTCGAGGTGGCCGTTGCTTCAAGGAGTGAATACCTAAGACGAAAACCCAAAGGAGTGAATTCCCAAGACGAAAACCTTAAGGAGTGGATCCAGTAGGAACCTTTTCCCAAAGACGAAAACCCTAAGGAGTGAATCCAGCTGGATACCTTAACCCAAGACGAAGACCCTAAGGAGTGAACACCCAAGACGAAGACCCTAAGGAGTGAGTTCCCAAGACGAAAATCCTATGGAGTGAATCCAGCCGGAACCTTTTCCGAAGACGAAAGCCCTAAGGATCCAGAAGAATACGTTAAGCCAAGACGAAACCTTAAAGATTGAATCCAGCAGGAAACTTCAACCCAAGACGAAAACCCTAAAGAGTGAATCCAACAGGAACCCTTGACCGAAGACGAAAATCCTAGCGAGAAAAAGTCAATAGACCATAAACATTTTTTGGTTTGGTGCTAAAGACATCAAGAAAGTTATATCTAAGATGCTTGTTTTGCAACCTTCTGCAGAGATCTGCTCTTTTCGGAGCCAAAAAAGCTACAACTACGCCATTTAGATGAAGAAAGCTGGAAAGTTACAACTCAGAGCAGTAACTACGTGTTCTACCTCCCGAGAATCCCAAACCCTAAATCCTACAGCTAAAACCTGCACTCCAAAGTACTAAAGTCTACATCCCAAACCCGAAACTCGTTTTGGACTCCATAAGGAACCCCCTCAACACCCTACAACAGCCCCGCCAAACTCAAAAGGCCACAAGCCCTGGACCGCAAGCCCTAAACACCACAAAAAATAGTCCACGACTGATCGAAGACCGTCAGGTGGCGAGCGCTAGCGAGGCCTGGCGAGGCAGGCCCTTCGGTTGCCTCTACGGTTCCCAAATGGGCTCCCATGAGTGTAGGGTTTAGGGTTTGGGGTTTAGGGCCTAGTTTAAGGGTTACGGGTTTCTAGTAGACTCCAAAAAGTTAGAACATCATCATTGTCACTTCATTTTGATCATCCTGCACTGACCAGAATGGTCCTAACAGATGTTCCAACTTTGTCGGGTTCACTGTAGGGTTAAGGGTTTGGGGATTAAGAGTCATGTCACGATTTAGGGACTAGGCTTTGGGTGGTTGGGGTTCAGGGGCTAGGGTTGAGGTCGTTAGGGTTTAGGGATTAGGATTTAAGTGGTGGGAGTTTAGACTTTAGGGGTGGTTAGTTTTCAGAGTTTAGGGTTTGCCGTGAAGTAGCGCGTAGGCGAAGGTACCTTGCGACAAGGTCGTGTCGAGTGCGTCGCACTGCTAGATCAGTTGACGGTAAGGCCAAGCCGCCCAAACCCCATCTGTTATGAGGGTGTCAGCTCAAACTCATTCAAAGAAGTGTGTGTGTGTGTGTGTCTGTGTGTGCGTGCTAGCAGAGGCCTCAGGGGCCACATTTTCAGAGGCCACCAGAGTGGCCCCACAAGTCACCTCTAGGGTTTACGATATGGGGTTTTGCGATTTTGGCGAGCACTCCAGAACACTAGCACCTACGAGAATATTCACGATCCCTTTGTTTCAAACCACATGGCTTAGCTACGGCATCAGAAGCAGGGCCTGGATGGAAATTTCGCGGGTTTGTGCCTTCTCGTGTTTTGCGCATCTTTTTTGTAAAGCATTGAGACTCTCAGGGCTTGTGTAGGTTATGTTTGAGATGCTTTTAGATGATCTAGCCGCTTTGCTAGTGTGCTGCTGTTGTATTTAACCGTGTAGCGGGTAGCGTGTTGTGGATTCTAAGCGTCCCTTCAAAGGGTTCTGGGTCCCCTTTAAGGGGTACTTTAAAGGGTTCGATACTAAGGTCCCCTTTAAGGGGTGCTATAGGGTTCTATGATAGGATCGGGTCCCATTCTTAAGGGTGTACTACGGGGTTCCATACTTCTAGGCGCTTCCCTGAAGGACTTGATTTCAAGTTCTCTCTCAAGTTCCGCTGCGCAAGAACCCAGGAGTGGAGGCCCTGAACAGAAAGCCAAAACCCCCCAAAGCCTCGATACCTTAAATCCCAGAGCCCCAAGCCCTGAACCCCTAAAAAAAAAATAAACCCTGCGCCCTCAGCCCTAGACATCTAAGCCTTAATGCCTCAAAGCCCAGACCCCCGCACCCTGGCCTGAGCCCTGCAAGGTCTTGTAAAGCCGCAGAAGGTTCCGCAGGACCCTATAAGACCTTCTGAGAAACTTACACAACCTTATAAGCAACTTCAGAAACCCTCTAGGATCCTATGAAACACCATAAACAGGCATGGGTTTAGGGTTTAGGGGACAGACAGGCTTGTAGCCCTGCCTGAGCATAGCTGCAAGCAGCTTGAAACCCCATAGGCGAGCTTCGAAAGCTTGGTCTGGAGCAGATTATCACTGCGAGGCTTTGCGGGGTTTAGGGTTTAGGCCTTTTTTTTTGGAGGGCACTTGTACGCTTTGAGGGTTTAGAGTTTAGACTTTCTGGAGGGGTGTTACAGGGTTTTAGAGGGTTTATACCTAAGTTCTTTGAAGGGCTCGAGGGATTCGGTTTTCGGCGTCTCTAGTCCTTGTCATGGTATAGTTTTTGTTGATGCAGGGGCGCCTCCAAGGTTCTGGGGTATCTTCGAGTATAGCTCTATGGGTAGGTCTCTAAATTCGGGTCCTTTTTGGGGTGCTTTGTATAAGGGTGCAGTACTAATTTTGGGGGGACCTAAAAAAGGGACCCGGTTCGCCTAGAAGTAGAAGGGTTGTAAAGCAGAGCATCCCGAACCCGACTCCGCAACTTTCAAACCTCTAAATCCTAAAGCTGGCTCCTTCCCAACAGGTAACCAGGAACCCTAAAGTGGCCCAGCGAAGCCATTGTGTCTCAGAGTGTGCCAGCAACTTTCCCCGTTCTTCTCGGCGCCATGGCATCCGTAGACGGATCGTTGGGCAACAACGCCGGCGGAGGAAAGGTGACTTCGTCATAAACAGAGAAATAAAAAAATATATATATATATATGGATAAACAAACAACCTTTCTCTCTATATATACAAATATATACACATACCTATTGACATATATCCTCTTGTAACTTTTTCACAGTTATATACCTCCAACCTCCAAAACCTCATTCTAATTATTAAGGGCCTTATAGAAGTTGACTGTGAAAGCTTAAAGCCTTTGGAGGATAGAAACCCGGAACCGAAAACCGCAAATTCAGGGGGGGAGCTTCAGAAAAAAAGGCGGACCCTCATGTAGAACCATGCAGTGGGATCCTGGTTGTCAGTACTTTTGCATAGGGCTTTCTCGTGTTCGGAGTTTAGGGTAGACCTACTAGGTTAAGGAGCCCCATATGGGTGGTTCTCTAAATTGGGGTCCCTTTTCGGATCCCCAACATAGTACGGCACCCTTCTCAAAGGGACCCTCAAAGGGATACCTCCCCCCATATAACTCGGGATCCTGGGACTTAGAGTTTAGAAACCCTAAACCCTAAACCCGAAACCCTGATAGGGCATCAGGCCCCCTCAAAGCCGACACCCAACCCTAAGACCAGAATCTAAGGTGAGGAGCGACATGAGTGATGTTCCAGAAGGCTTCGTGCTCCCCTCTGGAGATGCCCAGAAAGGCCACAAGCTCTTCAAGAAGCACTGCGCGCAGTGCCACTCTGTCTTCCCCGCTGCTTGACGTTTCAGGGCTTCGGGTTTAGGTTCAGGGTTTACGGTTTTGAAGGTCGGTTCGTTTGGGGCTCTTGCTTCTACGATCCGAGCTGGATTTCTGGGCTGGATGTAGTGCCTTAATACTAGAGGGGCCAAAATGACTACCACTACTAGGTTGCAGTTCCTTACTATACTTACAGTATACTATACCCAAACGCTATTATAGCTATATATATACACATACATACATAGGTATGTATATATAAAAGGCTCCTAACTTACGTGGCTGTCTTGCCATGTCGAAGTATCTTGGCAGCCTCACGCCGACCCTAAGACTCAACAGCCCTAAACTGCACAATCCCAAATCTCGAACACCGACAACTCCAAAGCCTGAACACCTAAACCCAAAGGGTCCTCAGTATCTACATAGTCATAGGCCCCGACCCCTAGCACCAAAGAGCTACACTCCTCCTCTGGGGTTGAGGGTTTAGGCTTTAGAGCCCTTCAACCCTAAACCGGAAGGCCCGTGAAGCCCTACAACTAAAGCCAAACAAGATATAGAGGCCTGCACAAGTCGCAATACAATTTCTTAGGGTTCTTTCAAAAATGCATAAATCCCTAGTCAATTGTTAAGGCTTCAAGACTCTCCAACACTAACCCACACCCTCCTTCTACCCTTCATCTTCACTCCCTAAATCCCAGGACAACCGAACAGACTCTGGCACCGTCTACGGCCCCACGCTCTTCAACATCTACGGCCGAGCCAGCGGCGAGGCTGAGATCGCACAGAAGAACATCATGGGAGGAAGAGCGAAAGGCTCCGGGGGGGTGTAATTACTTGGGACTTAGGCCGCAAACCCTAAACCCTGCACCCTTAAACCCCTAAGCCTAAACCCCAGACCCTAAGCCCGGCTAAGCCCCTAAGCCCAAAACCCCTAAACCCCTAAACCTAAACCGCAAACCCTAAACCTTTCAAACCCAAAAGCCTGAATCCCAGACTCTAAGCCCCTAAACCCTGAACCCTCAAAGCCGGAAAGGTGTTGGGGAAGAGGGTTTGATCGAGCTGGGGGTCGGGGTTTTTGGGGTGTTTTTTACGGTGGCCAACAAGATGTACTTTCTAGAGGGATTATATTTAAGGAGCTTTATTTCAGTAACTATATTTAAGGAACTGCATTTAAGGAACTCTCTCTCTCTCTCTCTCTCTCTATATATATATATACACATATAGAAACCATAATGACGAGCCCTTAAAAGGTAGGTCTTGTCAGAGATATCTTGGGTTTGGGGTTGGGGAGGGGGTGGGGAGCGTCAGGGTTCCGGGAGTCGTTGTTCTAGATTCTAGTCGATCATCCGTGTGTGTTCGTTGTGAGTGTTATGACTGTGGGTTCTTACTGACACTACGATGTGTCTCTGACTGTGATGATGACTATGGCCTCTGTAGCTACTGTTGTAGTACTTAGGTTTGTCGCTGTTGCGCAACACGGTTAAAGGTATCAGAATGATGAAGATGTTGCAGAGGAGTAATATATGAACAGGTGATACTGACAACAATGATGATGGTGATGATGATGGGTTTTGCAAGCATGCTAAGAATGGAAACAAGATGATGAAGATTCTGATGACGATGAACACGACAGGGCATGTTAACGTTAGTAGGAACAGGGAAGTAATGATGCTGTCATCATCACCATCATATCACCACCAACATCATCATCGTCATCACCACCACCATCATCATTATCGCCAGCATCGGCAGCATCAGCGTGATCATCATCAGCATCATCATCATCATCAGCATCAGCATCAGCATGAGCATCAGCATCAGCGTCATCATCATCGTCAGTACCAATGCTGCCATTGTTCCCGTTGTCATTAAGGCTACCCATCTTGGGTTCAAACATTGTCTCACGTGTCTTATTCTTGACTTCTGTACAAGCTGTACTTGTGATTCGACGAGGATGTTGTTGTCGCTTCTCCTCCTACTGCAGCTCCTCCTCTACTGCTGCTACTGCTACTGCTGCTGCTGCTGCTGCTACTGCTAGTGCTGCTGCTGCTGCTGCTACTCCGCCTCCTCCTCGTCCTCCTCCTCCTCCTACTACTACCACTCCTGCTCCTACTGCCGCTGCTAGTGCTACTGCTACTGCCCTTACTGCTACTACCACCACTACTTCTACTTCTACTTCTACCTGTACT